TAATGCTGCATTTTTCTAGAACAAAATTCTCTCTTCAAAGCACAGGAGGAAAGACACAAACCATTTTCCTCCACCTCTAGTTGCGGTGGGAGAAGTATATTCCAACAGCCCTGCCAGGTGTTTGGCAAAATCTGTTATTCCAAAATGCCTAGGCAAGGTTTAGAATGAGAAAAGCAAAATATTTTGTGCTGTGAGACTTATTTAGGCTGTAGTAACTGGTAGTCCCTCAGATGGAAGGCCTTTCATCTGAAAAGACAGGCTAGACCTGCTCTACCCTAGGCTGAGAATGCGTACTCAAGATATGTGATCAGGGTCAACTTGACTGCATCAAAATCTTTTTTTTTTTAATTAAATTACTTTTATTTTTTTGTGTTCAGTTAGCCAACATATAGTACATCATTAGTTTTTGATGTTCAACGATTCGTTAGTTGCGTATAACACCCAGTGCTCATCACATCACATGCCCTCCTTAATGCCCATCATCCAGTTACCCACTCCCCCCTACCCCCTCCCCTCTGTAACCCTCAGTTAGTGTCCCGGAGTCCAGAGTCTCTCATGGTTTGTCTCCCTCTCGGATTTCTTTCCACTCAGCTCTCCCTCCCTTCCCCTGTGGTCCTCTGCTCTATTCCTTATGTTCTACATATGAGTGAAACCATATGATAATCACATCAGAATCTTAGGAAGAAAAACAGGCAGGGTGGGGATTCCTTGGTTGGACAGGAGACTCCAGGTATGTGGCTGGGAAGGGGCAGCTGGGAGAATGGAAGGAGGAGACAATCAGAAGTCCTGTGGGGAGGGGTACTTGAACCTGTACCACAGACACTAGCCAGGTGTGGTTGGTAACCAACTGAAATATATTGTAAGAATAAAAGCCTCGAAGTATGAAAAAAACGAATGTTAAAGCTCTCAATTTTAGATTGATTGCATGTTGACATTGCATGTGAGATAATATTTGGGGTAGATTCAGTTAAACATTAAAATTGATACCCTGTTTTTCTACTTTTTGAATGTGACTATTCAAGATTTAAAGCCACCTAGGTGTCTTATATTTCTAGTGGTCAGTGCTACTTTATATCCATTTCCCAGGGTGGAATTATGGCTCATGTTTACTTGTGTTTCCTGTATTTTTCAAACAGAAGAAAATGAGAAATCATGTGTCTTTCAGAAAAAAATAACAAATGTATAAAGGATTTTGGAGTCTGGCAAGCATGTGTCCTAGTTGCAGGATGTGGGCAACTAACCTGAGACTCAACTTCCTCCTCTGTAAAATGAAGATAGTAACAGCTTTGATCTCACCAGGTTATTTTCAGAAGTGACAAATGCATAGGAAAGAAGCAGAGTGCTTAGCATGGAGACTGACATAGGGAAGACTCAATAGTTTACATTATTCTTGGTTTTATGTCAAGATTTTTCTGATGCCTACTTTTTTTTTTTTTTAAGATTCTGAGAGCTGAGCGCATGAGCAGGGGGAGGGGCAGAGGGAGAGGAAGAAGCAGACTCCCCTCTGAGCAGGGAGCCCGACTTGGGGCTCCATCCCAGAATCCCAGGATCATGACCTGAGCCGCAGGAAGATGCTTAACTGACAGACCACCCAGGCGCCCCTCTGATGCTTCATCTTTACTTAATCCCTGTGGATTTCTAACTCAGCTCCTTGTCGCCCTTGTTCTCCAAGTTCGTATTTGCTATCCTACCTTGCTACTGTACACCCAGAAAGCCAAGATTTTCCCTTATCACTGGAGAATCTTGGGCCTGGTTCCCTATTTTTGGCAACTTGTTCAGAATAAGGCACCTCCCACTTATTGACTCGAGCTCATCTGGATTTCAGAGCAAAAATTTCCTTTGGACTTAAACTGCAAATCAGGCCACAACTCTTTGCTCATGTCCTTTGCCTCATCCCTAAGATATTTGGCCGTGCTTTTTACTGAACTGCTTCTTTTGATGGGAAGGTCAAGTAAGGACAACTGATACCAGCAAAGGGGGTGAAGGTAACAAGAAGGGTCATGCAACCAGGAGCTCAGTGGAACAGGGCCAAAGCCAGGACAGAAGAACAACTTTGTAACTTGCCCCCCCAAACCCGGCCCCTTTTCTCCCAGGGGCTTGAAAAGCTGTGCTATGTTCAACCCGAGTAAGTACAAGTAGGTTCTTGTCGCCTTCCTAGATTCTTGCTGCCTGAAGGACCACCTCCCACAGTGTAGCAGAGCACACATCTGAAACCCTGTGCTCGATTTCCTTGTTCTGGAAACTAAGTCTTCAGATGAAGATGGTGGCACTTGTCTGAAATGCAGTGGCAGAGGAGAGAAAAGAACTTAAGCCTTGATGCAGACATGTAGCTTCCCTAGGTAGAAGCTTCCTAGTTCTTTCAGTTAATGAGATGAACCTTCCAGTCAGAACTGCTTCCGATAAAAACAAGAGAAATCACTTACGGACCCACTTGGAACAGCACACGTGGCTGGAAGTGTCCATGCTTCTCGAAGCAGTGGGATAAAGGCTCCCGATTTCCTATGCAAGTATTTTTTTTTTTTTTAAACACAGAAATGTTGATTTTTTTTTCTTTCCTCCACCAGCTTTAATTAGGTGATTCAGATGGTACTCTTGACTTAAGGTGATTTTTTTTTTTTTGGCCTTTTCATCAGATCAATGTTACTTTTTTGCTCCTTTTATTTTTAGATTCACCCAGTGTTCTCAGGGAAGCAAACTCAAAGGAAAGAAATAAGCAAATTGATGTGTGTTTTAAGCTTGGGCTGAGCTTTGACAAGAGAAAGCCTTGGAAATTATCAAGGGAGAGGAGCTTCCAGGGCTGCCTTTGCTGACAGCCAGGATTTGTGGAGGATTTGTTGAGGGAACTGGGCTATTGCAGTGGTAAAGAACATACCTAGGGCCACTCAGTCACCAGGTAAGGCATGCTCAGCTGAGTGTGTGTGAGAGGGCCAACCCTGGAGGTGCTAATGGGGCTGGTTTTCCTGGAGCGTTTATGAATGAAATGTTTATCATAGATCAGGGGCAGACAGGGATTATTGCCAACCATCGCTTCCCTGTGGTTTCCTAGAAAATACAAAGTTTCAAAATGTGAATGAATCTTCCTTACTATGATAATCAGATTTAGGAGACAGAGGAAGCATTTCTAAAAATTCAAAACACAGCTTTAAGATACCAGCTTCCCACACAGAGGAACTTACATTCTGGTGTCTTGGCTCCAGAGTGAAGAGAGCAAATGCTCTGTAGATTCTTTGATCTTCCTTTCTTAAGAATGTGTTTGTTTTTTGGTCACTGCAGGTAAACGTTCCTTTCCTCTGCCAGAGGTCACAGAAACAGAGATGAGTGTGTAAGTTGAAATGCAAATACACGGGAATGCAAACATGTCCGTTCAGTCAACTTGTGATCTGCTCATGCGTCAGAGCAGTGTCCCTCCAGGGCCTGACCGTTTGCGAGGCTGTATAGCTCAGTGCTACAAAGGCAATGAGCATGCTATTAGCTAAACTTGAAGTTTTATATTTTCCATTATGTGAGGATAATTGTCTTTTCCCCACCATGAAGGTGGAAGAGATGATACAACTAAAACTATTTGAAAATGAATGGAAGTGCTGTTGCAGAAACAAGTATTAGAATTATGGGTGTACCCACCTAGTAAATACATGTCCAAGAAACATTCTCAGTGACTAGCTGTTCCCGATTTTTTGTCCCTTCAAAATGAATGCACAATCATCAGTGTGACTAAATATGCTTCCTGTGACAAGGGACACCACTGCCATTTGTCTTGAAGATATCACTGGGTCTTTATGTGGACATCCTTTAAAATACAAATATTTTACCTGCTTTTACAGAGTGTATACATCTATTTCCTTAAAACAAAAAGACAAAACTAGATTACCACACTCTATAATATGCTTCCTCGATACCCAACAATGAAAACATTTTTTTTTTAAATTTTTAAATTAAGAGCTATCACCAGGTACAAACAATTATCTAAAGCATTTAAATGGTCTTTAACATAGTCTACTTCCCTGGCCTTAAAACACTGAAATTCCTTTTTGCTAGCAGCAAGAGAAGCTGTCAAGCACAACATGGAAAAATTGGTACCATTTCCTGGCCAGTAAGCACGCAACTGGGGAGCTCAATATTTTGTTTCTTGCATTACTGTTCTCATGCTGTTTGTTTGTTTCTGTCTCTCCTCTCTCCTGCTCAGGGCTGATTGTCGTGACCTTGGCTGTCTGCTGGATGCCTAATCAGGTGCGGAGGATTATGGCAGCGGCCAAACCCAAGCACGACTGGACCAAGACCTACTTCCGGGCGTACATGATCCTCCTCCCCTTCTCCGACACCTTCTTCTACCTGAGCTCCGTCATCAATCCGCTCCTGTACAATGTGTCCTCGCAGCAGTTCCGCAGGGTGTTCGGCCAGGTGCTCCGCTGCCACTTGACGCTGCCCCATGCCAACCACAGCAAGCACCTGCGTGCCCACATCACCTCCGCTGCCGCCAGCACCCGCTCGGTGCGCCGCCCCCTGATCTTCATGGCTTCCCGTTCCAGTTCCTCTGCAAGAACTGACAAGGTTTTCTTGAGCACTTTCCAGAGCAAGGCCAAGCCTGAGTCTAAGCCCCAGCAATTGAGTCTCGAGTCACTAGAGCCCAACTCAGAGATGAAACCACCCACCTCTGCCGCAGGGAATGGTTTACAGGAGCATGAAGTGTGAATGTCAAGTAGGGAAGCCTTGAGGGCTAACTGGCAGGTCCCCCCCCCCCCAACAACATATCCTGACACAGCGGTGACAAACTGCCCCTATGAGGGACAGGTGTGGAAGCTAGGGGCCTTGGGAAAAAAATGGATGGCCCTCTATGCGCCTTCTAAGGGCAGATTCTGCCAGCCGGACCTTGGCTCTGGGTAGAGAGACTTCTGCTCACCCCTTCCTTTAAGTACACACTGAAAATTTAGACTGAATTTATTCAGAGCTTACAAAAAAAATGTTTTACACTGAGCTCTTTTGCTGGCGAAGGAACTGAGGAGGACCCCGCCCCTCCCCACCCAGAATAAAAGGACACACAGGAGAAGCTTGGGGAGCAGAGGGAGTGAAGGGCCAGAAGAACAATGCAGGAAGGGTGAGCATCTCCTTCAACTTCAGCAGTGAGCCAAGAGGAGGGCTAACTGGAGGAGCAGGATGGTGGTGGGGAGCCCAGGCCGAAGGGCCAAGGCAGAACTGCTCCGTTTCTTGGGCCGGGGCCCGTTGCAAAGAGGGGTGTTACAGCAGCTGATGCACACTGAGTTCAGTTTCCCAGGGGAGCAGAAGGATTGGTACCCGGCCGAGGCGATGAGGCAGGCTGCCGATGATGCACACGACTTGCGGTACATGATGCCTGCAATACAAACCCACGGACTTGGGTTAGCTGCTGTTGCCTAAAGGATAGCTCATCTTTACTCCTCCCACAGCCCAGGTACTTGAGTGGGGGTGGGGTGGGGGGGGCAGGAAGAGACTTTGGGTTGTTTCAGTGAGCACCCACCCCTCCTCTGCCAAAATAGGAAGAGGACTTCTTCCCCATATAGCTCCATTATTTCTCACAGGTTGTTGCAAAGAGCTATTAAAATCAAAGTTCACTTAAAAAAAAAAATCAGAACTTTTCACTTTTTTATTGCTGTAGCTCTCTCATGCCATGGAGAATGATACTCTATGATGGCTCTCACCTAGGGGTGTATTAAATCCTAGCGTTCCCTGGAGAACTAATGCCCATGAGAATAATATCCCTACTGAAAGGGCGCTGATTTTTCTGAGGTTTCAAGGTTCCCTACATCTTAGTGAGGGGATGGCCCGATGTTGACAATGTACCCAGCTTATTCCAGTAAACAAGCTTTGCCCTCAGAATATATGGCCATCTGCCTACTTAGCATCACACAGCCTCCATTTATTAACATACTGTGTAGCCATATAAAGGAGCACATAGGACATGTCCAAATTACAGCACATCATCAAAGGAGATTATCTTGAATAATCATTTAAGTTCTTAAAGCTGAAACCTTATTCAATTCAGATAATAGCTATCTTAAGTGCTTACCTGTAGGCCAGGCACTCTACAGAGGGCTGTCGTGTACTAGTTCAACCCTACAAGGGAGGTCCCCATTTCACAGATGGGGAGCATTAAGGGCAAGAGAAGTTTAAGAACTTACCCAAGGTCACACTCCTGGAAAATAGAGGAGCTGGGATTTGAACTTAAATTCTGGCTCCATTCTGTCAAGTCCTTACGAGTATATATAACCAAGCAGCCTGCCAGTAAACCACAAAAATGTGTGTGTGTGGGGGGAGGGGTGGGAGGTGGAGAGAAATATGTCCTCTAAAGCTGGACCTGAATGGCTTTAGCTTGTATGCCACCCTGCACAGCTGAGGGCTCCAACATACCTTACTCTGACTCCCTGCAGAGATGTGTGTTTGCAGGCAATGCTTTGGGTTATGGAGAAATAGTAAACAACTGAGCAACCTAAAACTTCCAAGTGGGAGGTAAAGACTTTAAAACATACAATTTTAAGCCATTTTTGTTCCATAACTACACGTTTGAAAGGATGGATTTTCTAACAGTCTTTTTAACACTGTAGGCAGTAGCTGCTCTGGTAAGATTTATCGGGTAAAATAAGGTCCACAGACACGTGTGTGTGTGTGTCACTGTTTGATTTGTAAGAAACCTGCTGCTGGGCATTGCCCATTTATAGATTTCTCATAGTCCCTACATTTTCTACCCATTTCCATTTTAGGAACTTTTACCATCATTTGCTAGTTCAACTTCAACTTTCCTCAAGTGAATTTTAAAAATATATTTTTCACTGTAAAAAAAAACTCAGTGAAATAAGGTGAAAATGCCACCTGACTAGGTTCCCCCCCGTAAAGGTTAGCATTCTTACCAGTCTGGAAGGCCTCCTTCCAGGCCTGTTTCTATACATTTACATATGTGTAATATGGAAAAATAGTGTGTGTGTACACACCCAGATTTGTTAATGGTATAATATCCTATATGCTGTTCTACAGTTTGCATTTTTACTTAGTGACATGGCTGAGGATTTATTTTTAAGGTTAATTCTGCAGGGCTAAGGAGTGGTGATGAGGGAGGTGAGATAATTAATGCACAAAGGGAGCCCTGATTTTTGTGACGGCTGCCCAGGGGACACTTCCAGATCACCTGTTCTGGTGGCAAGTGGATCTTATGCTTGTGGTCCCACAGGACTCTACAGATGTCCATTCTTTAAAGCTGGTGCCTCCAGGTCTGGCTTCCACTCAGCCTGAATCTAGGTGCTGAGATCCTCTCTCTGGGGACACTGACCTGTCTTGGCACATCCTCAACTAGTGGGAACTATAAAATGAAAATAGGCTGCTTGTAGAAACACAGAGAAGAGTGAAGCAAACAAAACAGTGGAATATGTTCCAAATGAAAGACTAAGATAAAGCTTCAGAAAGAATCGTACAGAACCTGACATAGTAATTAACCTCACAGAGTTAAAAGTAATGGTCAAAAAGATGCTCACCAAACTGGGAGAAGAATGGATAAACACAGTGAGAACATCAACAAAGAGAAAATATAAATATCAAGTAGAGTCAGAGAGCTGAAGAATGCAGTAACTGAACTGAAAATAACAGCAGAGGAGTTCAACAACAGACTAGAAGCAGCAGAAGAAAGGATCAGCGAACCCAAAGACGGGGCAGAGAAACTCACTCCATCAGAGCAGCAAAAAGAAAAATGTAAAATATAAGTGGTTTAAGGGACCTACGAGACCACATTTATTGGCTAACATGCTCATTTATAGGAGACCCAGAAGGACAAGACAGGGACAGAAAACTTTCTTGAAAAAATAATGTCCAAAAACTTCCCTAACCTGGGGAAGGAAGACAATATCCAGGAAGCCCAGAGAGTTCCAAACAAAGTGACACCAAAGAGACACACACAAAGACACATAATTAAAATGTCAATGTTAAACAAAAGGAGAGGCTGAAAAGAAAGGATGTTAATCAGTGACAAAAACGGTATAAGCTATAAATCTTACTGGTAAAGTTAAATATATAGGAAAGGTAGTTGATTAATTACTTATAAAGCTAGTATAAAGGCTAAAAGACAAAGGTAGTAAAAATAACTACTATAATTAGTTAAGGGTTACACCAGATTAAAAAAACAAAATGTGACATGAAAAACAAAATGGGGGGGGGAGAAAATAGATATGTAGAGCTTTTGAATGCATTTAAGCATATTAACTTACAATAGACTATTGTAGACATAAGTTGTTATATGTAAGCCTTAAGGTAACAACATAGCAAAAACTATAAATAGATATACAAGAGAAGAGAAAGGAATCTAAAGATACCACTAAACAAGGTCATCAAATTTGACAATGGAAGAAAGCCAAAGAAGGAACAGAGAAACTACCAAACAGCCAGAAAACAATTAACAAAATAGCAGTCAGTACATAACTCTAAACGATTATTTTAAATATAAATACTAAATTCTCCAGTCAAAAGCTGTAGTGTGGCTGGATTAAATACCACCACCACCACCACCAAAACAAGACCCATCTATACACTGCCTATAAAAAAAACTAATTGCAGATATTCCATGCAAATGGAACCCAAAAGAAAGCTGGGAGAGCTATACTTGGACAAAATAGCCTGTAAAACAAAGAGTGTAATAAGAGACAAAGTAGGGCATTCCATAAAGGGGTCAATCCAGCAAGAGGATAAAGCATTTGTAAATATTTATGCACCAACACAGAAGCACTTAAATATATAAAACAAATATTAATAGACCTAAGGGAGAAACAGCAGTACAATACTTGGGGACCTTAATATCCCTTTTACATTAATAGATCATCAAGACAGAAAATCAACAAGGAAACCTCGACCTTAAAGAGCACTGAACAAGACGGAATGTTCTGTATATGTTAAGCCCATCAAAAAGCAACAGGGCAGACAGAGAAGATGGCACAGTAGGAGGACCCTGAGCTCACCTTATTCCACAGCCATACCCAGGCAATAACCATATCTGTGCAACTAACTGAAAATGACTTGAAAATTGGCGGAACAGATATTCCATAACTCATCATGGAGACAAGGTCACATGGATGAGGAGAGGAGGGATAAGAGATTCAGTTCAGAAGTGAATCCCTAGAGAAAATAACCATAAGTGGGAGAGAAATCACAAGTACAGAGGAGTGAAGGGATCAGACCCCACACTGGGTAACCCTAGCCCTGAGGATCTCCACCAAGAAGACCATTCCCACAATGTCTGGCTTTGAAAATCAGCAGGGCTAAATTCTAGGAGAGCCAGAAGGCAACAGGCAAAGTCCCCACCCTTAAAGAGACAGCATGCTAAATAAATTGGCCTGAGACACAGCACAGAAACAGCAATGTGCAAAGCACCTGGGGTGCACATAAAGGAGATTTATTGACTAATCTTAGAACTTGTGCTGGAGGGGCAGGGATCTTTCAGAGAGTTCTCTGGGAACAAAAGTATTGCTGAGCACCATTTTTCTTGTTCTCCCCCAGCCTAGACAGCCAGCACTTGCAGGAGCCAGTTCTGATACTCTCCATCTACTTTGCTAGTATCAAAAGGACTCCTGCCCTGAAAGGGGGAGGAGATAAGCCCACCTACCAGTGTGCCTGAAGTTCTTGCATCTAGGAGTCGTAGCTGGATGCATAGGAAGCAAGCCCTGCTCTTTGGTACAGGTAGGGTAGGGCAGAGGCTAATTGCAGACAGCTAGGCTGAGTGCTGACCCCCCCATCCACCAGCAAGCTCCCAGTGGCTGTAGCTGGGTTTCTCAACAGCAGGTGGAGCAAACCCTGCCCAGTGTGCCCATAGCAGCTGAAGTGGCTTACTGCAGCCAGCTGGGCTGAGGCCAACTCCAACCCACCATGCCCAGAGCAAATGTGGCTCAGCCACAACAAGAGGCCCTGGTTCTGTTGATGCACTACAGAGCATCACAGGACCTCTTCTATACAAGGCCACTGCTTTCAAGACCAAGAGATGTAACTGACCTACCTAATAAATAGAAACAAACATGGAGAACTAGGGAAGATGAGACAGAGAAAATGTCGTAAATGAAAGAACAAGACAGAATCACAATAAAGTGAAACTGAGATATGCTGGAGAGGATGGATGAACTCAGTGAGAACTTCAACAAGAGATGAAAGATATAAAAAGAACCAGTCAGAGCTAAAGAATACAACAACCGAAATGAAAAATACACTAGAGGGAATCAACGGCAGATTAGAGGATGCAGAAGAATGTATCAGCAGCCTGGAAGAAAGGGTAATGGAAAGCACCAAGCTAAACAGCAAAAAGAAAAAAAGGAATGAAAAATTAGAATAGGTTAAGGAAACTCTGCAACA